GTTTTTCTTAAATTCCACTGAAAAAACCCGTTTTTCTTAGAGCCTTTTCATGTGCATTTTAACAACTTACTAATCTTCTGACTACATAAACATTAGACTAACCTTACACGAACATCTACAACAATCTTCACAATCAATGCAAACAATTTCAGGACACTTTAATCTCTTAAATAACACACGCAAGAGACAATTTGTACTCTCAGTGTTATTTTCACTGTTATGCGTTATATATTTTTGAGAGGACTTACATTAATATCAATAAACTAAATAAATAAAATTATGATACGTTTTGAGATACGATTAGGTGTCTCTATATATTTTCTCCTTAAAGAATGGTCAAATCGAATTTACCTTAAATATTTGCGAGTCAAAAAAGATGCAAAGTTTCACAGCTGAAAATATTTTACCATTTTTTATTTTCTTTGTGTGTGGGTTGAAAGTATAACATTTTATGTAGGCTCAGCTGCCCTGTGCGTTGTCTTTGATCAACGAACCTCAACGAAAAACACTCTTTGTTTAACCGTAAAGTGTAGGCCTATGCGTATATTTGAACGTCGGCTTTGAAGGCAGACTTTGCAAATGCACAAATATAACCTGAAGAGTATTTTATTTCCCGTTCTAGAAAGCAGGATCTTTTGTTTTCTCAACAGGTCTGTCATGTCTGTCTCTCCGTCCACGTGATTTACCTCGAGAACCGTTGGATGGATTTGGATGAAATTTGGTACAAAGTTTATGTCATTTTGAACGACCCTAAAATCGCACTTTAGAAATTTCCTGCAATATTCTGGCACCGATAATAGCGCCACTTGTAATTTTTTTTTTATTTAGTGTTCTGTCTGACGACCGGTCCATATGAACAGGATCCTTCCCTCTTTTTCTCGGACTGGGCCCTGTTCATATACGTTCTTGGCAGATGATCCAGAAGTGGTTTGCCATTGCCTTCTTCTGTGTGTGAATGGAGTAATTGTTGGGATGCCACGGAGGAAAACTCCGTGTTGCCTAGACCACGGCCTTGCCCAACACAAGTTATAAATTCGGGCACCGCCGGGAATCGAACCCGAGACCCCAGGATTACAAGGCCAGCGTTCTAACCGCTAGACCACCGTGGCGGTCCGTTTTCAGATATTGGTATAATAAATATTTTATTATTAAACACCACTATATCAATGCCTAAGGTTGGTTATTCGATGTTATAGACATGAATCTAATGGTTAATACAAAATTACTGAAATGCCAAAGGGCACATTTAAGCGAAATAAACAAACAAATCGAAACCAGAAATTGTACGCGAGGATATTTTGTTTCGATTATTTTACGACGCTGTATTAAATACTCGTAGCTGGGGAGAATATTTATACCCAAGATCGAAGTGATAAGTCAAAGAAATTTGCATAACAGAAGCTTCATAACCACGGTTACCAACCTCGGGAAGTGCATTCCGTAGCTGAGTACACATAACATTCTCATCCCTTCTTTGCAACGCGCAAATATCGTAGCATTAAATCCGAACTTATCGATAGTTCCGAGTTTGGTCACCAGATCGCAGCATCTCAATATCTACCTTCATCTGTCATTCGCTCGTAGAATATTCCTGAGTATGAACACGGTAATAAAACTTCAGGCTCCATCTATGAAGGACAGTTTCTTAACTAGATGAACGCTATATCAGCTTCTCGAGGACTCTGCCCCATGCAGCTACTCAGTTTCTGAGGCATGGTAATTTAAAAAAAATCACATCCTGCAATTTCAGTCCTGAATCATCAAGGATTCTAAGGCTTGTGACAGAACACTGCTATGATGAGAATAATTCCTTTGTTTCCGCGTTTCGAAGGCTGGCTCTGTATACATTTACACGTAAATTAGTTACTGATGAAACAGAAAATGTATCTTTCATCGTTCGTTGTTACAGCCACAGACTTCTCTGCGATTTCGTTAAATATATTATCCATTATTTAGCGATTAATTTCAGGTAAGATGATCGTAAATCACCCTATTTAAGTTACAACTAGATTGCCTCAACCAAGCAAAGGATTTTAAAAATGTTTCTCCATATTTCGTTAAAAAAAAAGTTTTTCATACAAACAACACGTCCCCCAACCCCAGAAACACCACGCCTCGAAAACGTCATAAATTATAAACTTCTGTACTGGGCCTTGGTATGAAAATTAGTGATAATGAAAAATATATGCTCCTGCAGGGAATCAAACCTGGACGTTTTATACAGTAGCAAGTCATTCTTCTGGGTGTCTATTAGAGTTTACTATCCCCACTGCTACTTCTCATTCGGCGAAGAAAAGGAAGACCTCCAGAAATGAGAAGTCATTTGCGAGTATGTTAAATAATCAACTGAGGACAGCCGATAAGAGGTGGTTCTCCAGTTTGAGGCTAAAGCTTTCTGCCTCATCCCCTGAACGTATTAAACCAATATGTCGTGATTATCACAAACAACCAAGAGTTTCTGGTATGATAATCCCAAAGAAAGAGGCCACTTGGAAGAACAAGGCGTAGATGGCAGGATAATATTAAAATGCTTCGTTTACGATAAGGTTGTGAGGTGCCAAGTGGAATAAAATGGCTCACGGCAGTGTACAATGGCGATATTTTAAGTACACTGTAACTTAATAAACTTATTTTTTCCACAAACGCAGAGAATTTATTGACCAGCTTAGTAACTATTATAGTACCAATATTTTGAAGAAGAAAAAGACCTTGCATCGAACCGTCGACACTATCGCAGAAAATTATACCATAAACATATGCAAGCAAACAAACTACACATCCCTCCAGCCAGACACGTCGACCGTGATTATCGATATAAGCTACTATCGATTTATCGTTGCGATAATTTAGTATAAGTTCTAGTCATAAAGGACAACAGACGAAAAACGATACAAACATTACGCTAAATTTACATGATACGAGGTGCGATCGGAAAGTTTCCAAACTGCGCGTATAAAAACCCGTACACTTATCTCAGGTATTAAATTCATCCATCACCCTCGAAGTAGTTCCCCTGGGAGTGAACACAACGATCCCAGCGCCGCTGCCAAGCCTGGAAGCATCCCTGGAAATCTTTCTTTGTCAGCCTGTCAAGCACCATCTGCGATTCTGTCTGAATCTCTTCTATCGTCTCAAATCTCCTTCCCTTTAGCTGAATTTTCATCTTTGGGAAGAGGAAGAAGTCACACGGAGCTTAGGAAGGAAGTTGGGGTCGGTTCTTGCAAGATCTTTTAGCTCCTGACAAACGAGAAGTCGATTCTGCTTCTGGTCCTCAGACAGGAGCCTTGGTTTCGCATGTGGAGTTCTTCCTTTAGAATCAGCTGACATGTCCCATAGCCTATCCCAACAATGTCGGACAAGTCGTTTATGGTACGACGTCGATCTTCGTGAATGGCCTGCCGAATCTTGGTAACATTTTCGGGCGTTGTGCTCGAAGATGGTCGTCCAGAACGCTCGTCATCATCGACAGAGGTTCGGTCATTTTTAAAACGTGAATGCCACACAAAAGTTTGCGGACTCCCCAAATGTTTGCTTTAGCATTTCATAGGTTTCCGTAGCCGTTTTGGCGAGTCTTTGGCAAGAGATTCAGGCAGAATCGCAGATGGTGCTTGACAGGCTGACAAAGAAAGATTTACAGGGATGCTTCCAGGCTTGGCAGCGGAGCTGGGGTCGTTGTGTTCACTCCCAGGGGAACTATTTCGAGGGTGATGGATGAATTTAATACCTGAGATAAGTGTACGGGTTTTTATACGCGCAGTCTGGAAACCTTCCGATCGCACCTCGTATATTAAGGATAAAAGAATTATACTTCATGCAAGGATGAAAAGTACCAGGATTCCATTTTTACCAGGATTTTGGCAGCAGCTACGAATCCACCAATCAGATTACAAGTAAAGCGAAGTTCTTTAACGACATTATGCTTGGCACTCAACAATTTTGGCTGGCCCATAACATTTCAATTAAATTCACGATGGCTGTCATCTGGTATATTGAATCCATAAACCTCATACATATAACCGACGTTTCAGAGGAGCTTAATGTTTCCATCGTCAGGGTGATGAGATTACGCATCACTCTAATAATTGCGGAAGTAAGGTTCTCTGAAACGTCGGTTAATATGTACGAGGTTACATGGTGTTACATCCCAGAAGACAACCATCTACATGTTCGTTGCTTTATGAACCTCAAATCTCGATCGGTTTCTGATTAAAGTAGATTGAACTCACCGTCCATGGACCCACCGTCGGAGACGTGGCGACCAGTTCCAGCCATTTCAAACGGCATCTCGTCTTCATCACCGTGTCTGCAATGAAAAAGGATTCCTTCTTTGGTTAAAATAGAAACCACAACTACAATGGTTCTCTGTACGTATGTCGAAACAGCAGAAGCTGATGGTTGCCTTCTGGATTGTTGCACCGTGCAGTCTGGTAGAAGTTTACCGATGTTTCAAATGTGTTTATTGCCTCCATCATCAGGGGGATCGACGTAATGATGGAGGCAGTAAGCACCTCTGAAACGTCGGTATATACATCTACAAGACTACATAGCGTACCACCCCAGAAGACAGCCATCTTCAGATAACCCGAAATCACACCAAAAAATTGTTATATGAGGAAATCTATAAACTCATTTCCTTGTACATATTCAAAGAGTTGAGAATCGGTTGGAAATTACCTCAGCCTGTAATTCGATTCAGCTGACGTGAAGTTTATTATACATAATCAGTTAAAAATTCGTGATTTGGGTATCAACTAATTTAAAGACAACTACGCGCACAATACAACAGACAAACCGCGGATGAATGAACGTCCCTATTAAAATTTGAACTCTTGAACCCAGTGCATTACCAATGCGACTGGAATTAATCGAAAAATTACAAAAATCGATACATATCGAATTAAGTTATACATATCTGTACGTAATTTCTGTTAACACAGGTAAGAGTAATATCTGATCCCGCTATATCGCGAAAACTTCACATGCGTGATTTACAACGCCAAAAATAGTTTCATAGAAAATTTAGTCCACACGTAATTACGTTTATAATGGGTCATCATGGGGACTGGCGCCATGTCTGATTACAATTACTCATCAGTTATAGATACCAGGCAATAGTAAATATATACTTGCTTCCGTCAAAGTGTTATTTTGCAGGTTATTGCACTAGAGGAAGGAGACCTGTAACCTACATTTCACGACTCGATAAAGCCTGTAATTGGATTGGGCGGCTGCATCGGACCCAGGTCATCGACAAAACGATGTAAGAAAAGTTTGGTGCACAGCGTCACCTTAGGCGCCCAAGAAATAATAAAAATATAACTAACTAACTAACTAACTAAATGGCTTACCGAACTCGAAGGTTCATCACCGAATTAACCAAAGCCCTCCACCGGACCCTGTCCTGGGTCAACAAAACCCAGTCTCCTTCAACTCCTATCTCCCATAGATCCCGCCTGACATTATCCTCCCATCTACGTCTAGGTCTCTCCAGAGGTCTCTTCCCCTCAGGCTTCCCAAATAGTGGACCCAACCAAGCAGATGGCTTACTTAACCCGAAGGTTCATCACCGAATTAACCAAA